GCTTAGAGGCAGGTTTGTCCTACAGTCTGGAAGGAGGGGGTGGAGGAGTCTAAGCCTGAAACCACTGGCTGAACTATGAGTCAAGTTGTGTGTCCCTGGCCTGATGGTGAGGAAAGAGATCCTAGGTCTGGGCAGTGTCCAGGGAAATTTGCCTTTTCACCCTCTGCGTAGTTAGCCACTTCAGGGTGGTCTGGTTTGCACTAGATCAAACTTTCAGTCTGGTCTTCTTGATGGTGATGTAGGGAAGGGTGCTGCCACCTCTGGGGTGAGGCGTGTTCTTTTGGACCCTGACCCCTATGGCTGTTTTCTCCTGCAGACATGGAAGACAACTCCTCAGGGAAGGATCAGACCTATGTTGGCAGGCGTTCCAGCCGTGTCATGCGTTCTCTCCAGAGCAGTAAGTAGCTGAGGCTGTTTTCTCTCCTTTCCTGAGTTGTTTCTGCTCTGTGCCCTTTATGTATCACCTGGGTGTGGGCGGTAAAGAGCAGAACCTTGTATTGGGGCATATCTTACTAGTCACTGGGCCCTGTGGGTGGGCAGATATCAAAGCAACAGTGATTCAGGTACATGCTGCAAGGTTAGCACTTAAATTGTATTTTCCCAAGTGAGCTGTGTGATGGAGACAACCCTTCACAGTGTGGTTATGCTTCGAGGAGCACAGACCTTACGAGTACCTCTCCCGGCTCTGTCCCCTCTGGAGGCAAGCTCCCAGGGTGCTGGGTCAGCCACAGCAGTTGCTGTGTGTGCAGCTCTTCAAGCTTTCCTGTTTCACACCTTCACAGCGCAGAAAGCAACAGAGTGGTGGTGCGGGGAGGCATGGTAGGAAAGTTTTATTTGTGTTAGTGACCTGATCTGCTTGTTTCAGCCCCATCCCTGCAATCCCGGCACTGGGGGTCCCCCCAGCAGAGGGAGGAGTCAGAGAGCCGAAGAGCAGAGGAGATGAACCAGCCTCCCACCCCTCTGGGTCTCCAAGAAACCATCGCAGAATCCCTCTACATCACCCGTCCTCTGCTCCACCGTATCCTGCTCTGGCTGCATGCAGGCTCACGCCATAGCCTGGGTGCCAGCGGAGGGTGCTGCAGGCTCAGCCCTGGTGCAGGCCAGTGCCACTCCAGGCTGATCTTCCCCTGCCGCTGCTCTGCTTAGGCAGGGGCCTCGGGACTCCTGTCCCTTATGCCTTGACGGTCAGCCTCAGCGGCTGGAGTTGTGGGTGTGAGTCCTCCAGCCCCTTTCCTGGGCCCCCCCCAGCACTGCCTTAAAGTGCGTTCTCCTGCACTCAGCAGAGCTTTGCTGGTACCCAGGGGATCGCTTGTTTGTGTGCCTCTTGTCAGGCATCTCTGGTTCTTTCTCTTCCTTGACTGTGTGTTCCTAGTATTGAGTTTAGGAGTGTGGGGCCAGAGATCATGGAAACCCTGGCTCCTCTCAGCAGTCCTGGACATCTCGAGGTCAGTCTGAGGAAGAGTCTTTGCAGGTGCTTGAGGTTGGTGGTGGCTGAACATCGCACTTCCCCTGTTCCCCAATCCTGGGCAGGCCTTACTGAGGGGGTCTGGTCTTTAACTGGGCAACTGACACGTTTAGGTATCTTCTGCAACACTTACAGTGCTCTCTGCTCTGAGCTGGTGCAGGCTGCTCTGCATGGAGCTGAGAACGGAGGGCATTTAGAAACCCACTTTCTTTTCCCTGCTGGCTGCTGTTGCCGTGAGTTAGCTCTCTGCCCTTTTCCTTCCAGTCTGAGCTTGCTGAGTGATCTGAAAGACCTGAACAGGCGAGAGCGAGCAGAGCTGAGGCGACGAACCATCCTGTTGCTGTACTACCTGCTAAGATCTCCTTTCTATGACCGATATTCAGAGTAAGGGGCCCTTGCTGGGCTTTTGCTGAAAATTTCTCTTTTAACAGAAGTAGCCTCAGGGGATGGGGTGAGTAGATCTGAAGAGGTTTGGGTGTCTGTCACGAGGTTAATCTGAGCGCTTGCATAACAGCTGCCATTGCTGTTTGGGCATTTAACAGCTGGGGCAGGAGGTGTCCTGCTGGACTCATTCATACTCTCTCCCTTCCTAGGGGCAAGATCCTCCTTCTTTTGCGCTTGTTGGCCGATTGTGTGCCTGGAGTTGGCTTTGTCACACGTAAGTGGGCCCCACTGCTATATCCCTGTTTCTGTTGGGTGAATAAAAATCAGGGGAGTTGGGCAGAACGTTTGTCCATCGGTTTCCAACCCGAGGAAGGAACTGGGAAGTCCCAGGGATGGTTAGCATCAGTGCATCATGTATTGTTTTAAACTGCAACAGAAAAGGATGAATTGCTTCCTGGCTATTAGGGACCCATTCTCGACCACAGTGGTAAACCTCCCTGTGCCCTCCCAGGCTGCAGAGCTGTCTCTGGCACCTAGGCCTGTTCTTCTGGGCTCCTTTTCTGCACCTCAGCTAGTGCACCAGAGCCCTGCTTTGCAGTCCCTGTTTCTGAATGCTTTTCCTTGATTCCCAGTCTGCAATGCAGACACAAGAGGTAAACAGGTGCCTAGAAGTATTGACACAGCCAGGAGCAGATTGTAAATCAAAGGGCTGAACCAGGTCTGTCTTCTAGTCCTTCACTGGAGGATCCCTTTATTATGGGCCAGAATTTCACCTCCTCCTCTTCCCTGCTGCTGTTCCCTGCCTTTCCTGGAGTGGTTCGTGGCAGTGAGATGGCATTAGATTAACCTGACAACATGGGACTGTCCTTTCTTTGAGGAGGTCACAAAGCTGGCTGGCTCAGGAGCTACGGCTTCCAGTTAGTGATTTTTGGAGAGGCTTTGGAGCCTGCATTAAGCCATGTGCTACATAAGCATTTTCACTCTACAGCAATTGCTTCTGGGTCTGCACCTGCTTGTTATTGCTGAGTTGTCTTCCCTCTTTCCTATACCACAGCAGCGTCCTCCTGACTTGCTGCATGTGAGTTTTCCCCTTGCACATTGTAGAGCCCCCCCCTTTCCCACTGCAGCTTGGATTTGTCAGCTCTTGAGGGAGTGGCGTCCCACACCGTGTCAGTGCTGACCACGTTTCGCACCCCACTTGTCTCTGGCACCACATCCCACTGTTGTCTTACCATCTTGGCAAACATAACTGCTCTATCCTTACGCTCATCTGTGTTGTATAACTGGGGATTTGGGATTGTTGGGGATCATCATGAGAAGGGGGAATATACCTCATATACACAGAGCTTCCACTTCTTGCCTTGCTATTTGCATGATCCCTCTGTTCTCTTGTTTCAGGGCCACTGATGGATTACTTGCCTGCTTGGCAGAAAATCTATTTCTATAACTGGGGCTGATGAGAAGATGATTATTCTCTAAGATCATGGCTGAACGTTTCTAAGGAGGGCAGGCATGCAGGGGGAGGGATGTTGATAATGTCTAATTTTCAGTTAAACCATCAATCAGAAGCTCCCATTCTGCAGGGTGGGGAGGGGGGTGTATGTAATTTTTTAAAGAGATCTAGCTGTGAATGATGGACACTACATGTGTGGAGAGACCATGGCCACCTCTTTCTCTGGACCGTTCTGTGGCTGCAGGGATGGTGATGGGACAACCTTTTTTATTTTTTTTTTTAAGCACTTGATTTTTCTCTTTTTTTGTACGGCTGCATTACAATAAAGGCAGGCAGCGTAGTGGTTTTTTTGGAGAGCATTGTCTCCCACCTCACGGCGCTGAGATTGACCTGCAGCCTGCTTGTGTTGGCTGTGCCTGGCGCATCTGCTTGGATCGGGCTTGTCTGTCAAATAAACTGACTGAATGGAAAGAAGTGAGCTGAAGGACCTCTCTTCCCCTGTTTGCATCGCGTCCCCTTGTATCTGGTTGCCAGAAGGTCTCTCTATCAGAAAGGCATCTTTTGCAGTTGTCTACTGTGGGATATGCTGTCCCTTACAAGCCTTTTGCTCTGGCCTGTGCCAGGTGGGGCCCCACGTGTTGGTGAGCTGATGCTCTGGTTCAGTCCCCGGTTTCCTGGGGCTCCCCTGGGGTTATGGAGAGCTGCTGTTGGCAAGCTGCTTTCCTAGCACCTACGGTGTGCTAAAGGGTTTGCAGAATGGCTGCCAGCCAGCGCCCGGTGGGGCTTGGCCAAGGGCAGAGAGAGGAGATTCATTCAGCAAATACTGCTGTGCTACACTTTTAATAAAGGGCTCAGGAGAGGCCTGGACAGCCCTGGCCATCGTTTTGTATCTGCTCTGCTAACTGGAGGACAGTTGAGGCATCAGTCTTGCTTGGTGAGCTGCTGTGGAGGCTCCCTTGGCTAGGACAGAGGGGTAGCCAGCTGATGGCACTGGGTTGACCCACAGACAGCTGCCAGCCTGATGCAGAGCTTGCGAACTGGAAGTGGCCAGGTGCGTTGGCCTCAAGAGGAGGAGAGGAGCATTCCTACCTGAACCATCTTTGAGGAACTCGGGCTGCAGGGGTCACAGCCTTGCCTCAGCACCTGAAACGGGATGTACCCCCACACCTCCCCAGTGGGCCATCACAGTTGGGGACCACAGGGCTTTGGCAGTGCGTGGGGGTCTGTGTTCCCACCTTGGCTGGTGGCAATGCCCTGTAACATGGCAGCATGGAAAATCCATGAATGACTGAGGGCCTGTGCTCCCTTCATTAGAGCTTTAGCAGAGGAAGATGCTGAAGACTGCAAAGTCTCGAAAGCGTTGGCGAGATTCACTCCTAGGGTCGCAGAGGTACTGAGATGAAGGGGTTTGCTTTTGGAGGGTTTAGAGGGAGGCAAAGGGTGGTGGTGAGGAACAGGGAAACCGCCCTGGAGCTGTGGCTGCATGGGAGGAACGTGCACCAGTGCAGGGAGTGCTGTGAGCAGCTGGCGGAGCCTGGGCAGGACCAGGCATCCCTGGACCAGAAGCTTATGTACCAGGAGGAGGTAGTCAGCAGCACCTGGGTGGGCACCTGCCTCCTGCCCAACCCAGCTGGTGTCCCAGGGCCACCGGGGCTGCTCCTCTGTGACCTCGCTGTGGAACCAGTGTCAGGGTGTGCCATGCAGTGCTCGCTCCTGCTGCTCGCCCTGCTGCTGGGGGTTGCACTCCCACAGCCCTTGCGCCAAAGGTGATGGCACTTCCCTCCTCCTCCTCCCTGCTCTGGTACCTTCAGGGGTATCCCAGGGCTCCTGGCCTGGCTGTGGGCTGGCACTAAGCCCTGGAGTGCTGACCAGGCTGGATGAAGACAAGCAGCATGGGGGAGCTCTTGTGCCAGCGTGGGCAAGCGCCGTAGGTTCTCACCTCACTCCTGTCCCTGGTTTTCCTCCACAGGGTCAGCTACTCGGTCCCTGAAGACTTCTCTGCTCCTCTGGAGCTTCCACGGCAGCATTTTGGCCTGGTGGATGGTACAGCACTCACCTCACCCCTCCGAACCCCCTCTCCATGCACTCACCCCTCCAGGCGGGCAGTTGTCTCCAGCCC